GGTCCCCATAAGGATATGTTTACCTTACATGTGTATGTGTGTGTGTGTTCATATCGCTGTGTCGGTGAAGAGAGTCTATCCCCCCCTCCCCAGTTAGGTTTGCACTCTGGTATCACTGACTACGCCATGCTAATCAAGGGGTCATTTCTGAATCCAGTCCCAGGCCTTCACCATGTGATAGCAGGAAACTGGGAAGAAGGTGAAGAGAAATTATGCATTTGAATTGTGAGACTGTTGACATTCAACAATATATAATTTAAAAACATAAGCTGAACACAAGGACTATACTCCTCATTATATATTCTTATGGGGTCTTACTACAGTAGCTCATTAGATGTTGTTTATTATTATTATTATTGTTATTATTATTATTATTATTATTCAAACCCAGCATTTACAGCAAACAGCCATGCACATACAAAACGCTTTCAATTTCAGCATTAAATTGCAAGTTGACCAAATGAATCAGGCTTTGAGGAGACCTGAGCTCATCTGGTGAACGCTCAATGCAGGTGTTACCAGGTGGCACTTCTTGCCATTTAAGCTCAGAACGAACCTCTCAGCCTCTTATCCAATGACTGCCCGAATGTGCCTGAAATGCCTGATGTCGACTTTACTGTTTTTCTCTTCTGTTCTCTTCTTTCCATTACGCCCTTCTTCCTGAAGCTTTCTCTCAAGCTGGTAAGCACGATCGCCGCATGCTCGTCATGTGACTGACAAACTGCTTTTGTATTTGTCTTTTTGGTGGTGTTACTCGAGTGTTAATTGTCGACATCTGTTGTCTCTTTTTCTCTGTTGCTGTGTCCTTCTGCTTCCATGTATCTGTCCTATCAGAGCACTCTCACTGCTCAGGTCCAGAGTGTAATTGAGGTGATCAGAACCATTCATTTCTTCACTTCCCGCTTCCTAAGTGAATTGCTGACAGTGGTGGGGGGGGCTAGAGACAGTTGTGGTATTATGGTATAGGGTTCACTGTCATGTGACCCCATGGTTGGCCTGCACTGCTAGCGGCAGTACAGGATGCAATGCTGAGAGTCGTGGCAACCAAGGGGAAAAGCAACCAGTCCAGTGCAACACATGCACCACTGAGCAGTGCGTTCATTTGAGGTGCAATGTGACACGAGGAGCTGTGCAGTTCCCGTTTTTAACAGGGGAAGCACCAGAGGGGAGCACGCTGGAGAGAGTACTGGTACAATTGCTCTGTACTTTTCGTGTTTAACATTATGGAGAGAGTGACTGCATATGCACATATTTCTCTTGATTCCCTATAAACATGAGGGACTCGTTTTTTGACTCTTTCTGGATGGCTGCTCTCGCTTGGCAGCAGATCTGAGATACGTCACATTGTCTGACATGACTGCTGTGCAGAGAATAGCCTGTGTGATTTTCACCTGGAATTCCAGGAAGTGAAACTGAGTCAAACGTCACTGATTTGTTTTTTGTCAGCGAGCTGATTTCTGATAAGGAATGGTTCTTTTTCCCCTTCAGTTACCATCAACAGATTTTAACCGATAGATTCCTGGCTTGCCTTTTGTTCCCTGTACACCTGGACAGAGAAGCAAATCAAATATATTTAGATGATAATCATCCTCACAGAATTCCTTTGAAAATGCAGTACTGTCAGTGTTTATGGCCTGAATCCATGCAACCTTACCAGAGCTAAAACCATAAATGCTGTATGTTGCCCATTTTTAATTTGCAGATGGCACAGCTAATGTGAGCATATTTAAAACCTTGCTTACTTTGCCCACCTCTTTTTAAACTAGTACACAGACCAGAGCCATACTAATGCTTTGGGATTTTATTATTGCCCTCAGTGGATAAAATCCTGCTGGCTGCATGGGTTAAATTGTTCCCTTAAATTGTTTTGCATTAAAACGGAATTTGAATTAATTTTTGTACCTGTATCATACAGGTAAGTACTCAAAGTAACTCTCTGTGACATGTGCTATATGTGCCTCAATAGTGTCTTCTAACTGACGATATTGCAAATCAGTGTTGCTGTTTATAATGTATCATCTTTTACATTTTTGTAATGTGAAACAAATTGCAAAAAATATAAAACACGTGTGTTCTATAGAAAGAGGTGTTTTCTAGCAGAGTAAAGGTTCTGCATGATATTCAGTGCTGAGTGGTGAAAGGTCACTGTAAGGCTGGTGGCTTCTAGATGTCTTAAGTCTGGTGCTGTGACCCTTCCATAGGACAAGAGTTTTAATTTTGCAAAACTCTTCAGTCCAAGCTATCAGTGTTAATAATACTCTGACTATCAGAGCTGTCCTCAAAATAACATTGTAAAAGTGAGGTAAACCTAAGAAAGTAAACTGAAATTTAACAGTAAAAACATTTTGCTTCGTTCTTCATGAGATTTCACACAAACAGTTCACTACCTCCACCTGCTGGCTGCACTGTGAATAACAGTTTGTCCCGACTATAATTTCAGACCTCAAGCACAAAACAATGTAATGCAACCCTGATTAGATTTGAATTCCCACCTGGTTCCACATATGCATATCCTCAGTATAAAGCATTTGTGTGCACGGTCTAAGCATCTTCATTTATATCTGTAAATGTGACAGCGTTTTTTATGTTAAGCATCCTTTCATTTAACCCCTGCAGAAATGTCCTTCATGGGGCTTTCGTGTCCTTGCTTTAAAAATTGGCTTCCGAACACGCAGAGAGAGTATGATGAGTCAGATATTTTGTAATGGCTTTCAGGCTTAATGGATCATTTCTAAATCATAGCTGCAGCTGCAGGCTCTGTGGAGATTAAATGCCATCTGCAGAGTCCCAGCTTTGCATGGCCGTCCTTGCAGAGGACAGGCAACATAGGGTGTGGCTGCAGAATCCCCTCTGTAAGAGTCCTTGTCATTATGGGCTGTGTTTAACGCACTGTGGATGCCCTCCACTGTTTTGTGTGTATATGTGCACGTTCTCGACCACCATAAATATGTACTGAAGAGGAGAACAGTCATCCTCAGCCAAAATCCCACTGCCTAGTGTCTTTATATCCTAGCACAAATGCTCAACCCTGTTTTGGATTTCCATACGATAACATGTGGAGGGCACTTTAGTTTAAATGGAGGTTATTTTTCTAAGCTTCCTATGGGGTCAGACTTAGCACAACTCCTGAAGTAAATTAAGGTAAATTAAGGTAATGTTAAAGGAAGTCAAAGGAAATAATGGGGATTAAGTGAGCAACCTCCATTTTTAATGGACCCATTTAAGCCAGTCAACACAGTGTGAATGGATTTTTCATTTCCATGACTACCTCACAGTATACATACCCATGTGAAAGAGGGATACTGCACCCACAGATGGAGTTGCAGGTGGAGTCTGTGTATGTGTTTCACTGGTCTCTCTGCACCCAAGGGATCTGGCCCTGAAGACTGCAGCCATTTGCCCCCTGAGCAAAGGAGAAAGAAGCTCCAGGCCAAGGTCGACGACCTCAACAAGGAAATCCAAAAAGAGGTGGACCAAAGGTAAACCCTCAGGAAGGTGTTTGCTGTCGCTGGGTGACAAAGGCCAAGTGCACCATCTAAAAATAATTAATGTTTTATCATCGTTAAGGCTTAAAATGTGGCTTTTTTTTGGTCTTCTTAGGGAAGCTCTTACTAAAATGAAAGACGTCTACTTAAAGAATCCCCAAATGGGAGACCCCAACAGCGTGGACCCACGATTGTCTGAGATCAGTCACAACATTGAGAGGTTAAAGCTGGAAGTGCAAAAATTTGATGTGAGTAATTTTTTTCCTTAGATTTTTGTTTTGGATGCTGGGAAGAGTCATTCACGTCGCTGTTTGGCTAATGGGACCAGTCAGTCCCGATAACTGAAACCATCCTGTAATAATAATGTTATGTTAATGGATATTAGCACATTAGTTAACAAGTCTGTTATTCCTACATAGTTACCTGTATAAAAAATTTGACGATTTCCTGCAATAAGTGGAGAAAAGTGTCCTATAGTGATAATGTTTGAAGTATAATGTATGCAATGTAAAAAACAGGGATCTAATTACATTTTGTCTAATGCAAAATAACATTTTAGAGTATGTGGAGTAATAGCACATTTCTTATTTCTGAAAATGTCACAGGCATGGCTGGCAGAGGTAGAGGGGCGGTTGCCCTTAAGAAACGACCAATCAAAAAGGCAGAGCGGGTTGTATGACACACAGAATAATGCCCCGGTCAACAACAACTGTGCACAGGACCGTGAGAGGTACAGTAACCTTCTATATGTGTCCTCCCTGCCTTTGTGGATGTTTTTGTGACGATTGATGAATGTTATAGTGCTTTTCATTAGTGGTGACTATAATAGGCATGGTGGGGTTCAATGTCCTCATTGGTGCTCCGTGGGTATCGTGCCGTTGCTATAGTTACTGCATGTGTTCCTCCTTGAGCAGCCCGGATGGCAGTTATACAGAGGAGCAGAACTCAGAGACGCAGATCAAAGCTCCCAGCACAGAGTTTGATGACGAGTTTGATGAGGAGGACCCCCTGCCCATCATTGGTACCTGCAAAGTTCTCTACCCCTTTGAAGGTAATGCCTGTGATGGCCCCAGACCCCTACGCTGTGCTGTTATCCATGAGGAAAGTTCTGGCATTGCTTTGGCTTGCCCTTACTGCTTCCATCAAATAAAACTTCTGATCTATTAACACATCTGTGATAACTAGGTGCCTTAACAATAGCACGTCTCCCTCAGGTCAAAATGAGGGCACCATGTCAGTGGCAGAAGGAGAGATGCTGTACGTGATCGAGGAGGACAAAGGTGACGGCTGGACGAGAGTGCGCAGGAGTGAGGAAGAGGAAGGATACGTGCCGACGTCGTACGTGGAGGTCTTCTTGGAAATCACCAAAGGTGCTATGACATACATTTAAGCGCACGTGGTGGGATGGAGGGGCAGGACTCCTTCATTGCGTAGTGGCTCGGCGTAGTGCTGGTGTTGGGGGGGGGTGATTGGGGACAGATCGTGGGAGTAGACTGGCCCAAACCGGACAGTCCTCTGAGATCAAATCAGACTCCATTCCCCTGCGGTGGGGGTGGGGGTGTACAAGTTCATTCATTTGAGGCGTCACTTGGGATTTTTGGGGTATTTAAATGTTGGGTGACATTCTTATCTGTACTCATTCAGCAATTGCTTTTTTATTTACTTTTCCTCTGTATTCTTAAAAAGGTGAAAAAATGATACGGGTTTATCAGCCAGAGTTGTAGGCAGTCACGGAAGAGAGTTGAAAAGGACACTACATTCTGGGTTCTGTCGAGTTTGTACCTCTGCCAGCGTCTCTGATGGCTTTCCTTTTAAATCATCCTTCACAGCGTGTTGTAGCTGAGACAAACATAGCATACAAACATATCTTCACTCTAAATGAGGATCCAGGTCTCTTACATTTGATGGTCCTGTTGTCAATGTCAAACTGGAAAGTCCTTTTTCATTCAATGACATGCTTTACAGAGAAATTAAAAAACAAACAGCCGTATAATCTTTTTTTAATTCAGAGGTAGCATTTTGTAATTTCCAAATTCCTTATTTTATGCATGTTGCATTAGGTATTTCACAGTTTTGACCCAAACACTCAAGAGGGTCCAACAGCAACATGAAATGCCCAGATAGAGAAACAAAAAAAAAAAAAAAAAAAAAAAAAACTGGATCTCATATTTTAGAATGTTTACCTTCATCTGCATGTGGGAAGAATACTGTGTCTGCTACTTCATTGCACTAAATTTCTATATGTTGTTTTTAATCTTGGAATAGATTTAAAAGCTGACCATATGTGCCCACTGTGTATTTTTAAGCTGTGAGAACGCATCTTCAGTTTCTGGACTTGAAGAGCTTTATACAGTCTAAAACTACAAATGCTCCATCTGCAGTAGGAATGCATGCCAAGATGTACAACGAAGCTCTGTCATGATTTTGTTTTTATTTCTTGTTAATACAAATATGGAAGTTTAAAAAAATAAAGATATGGTGGGTTTTTTAATTATAAAAAGCTTCTTATCCAGTAGTAGCTCTCGCTGTTGCATGCAATGCGCAAAGCCTTGTCATGATATGTATTCTACTCGAAAAGGGAAAAAAAATAGGAAATCACTTGCTCTTCATCAGTGAAATGTGTAAATGAGTAAGCAAAAAAGAAACCAAACTGGTCTGAGATCAGTTGCAGTGAAGGGGAGAGATATTTCTTGCAGGATGAATGAGCTGTATGGTGTGGTCAGGTGATCCTCATCATCGTTATCATTCTGCTGTCTTCCAAAGCAATGACTGTCTGCATGAGTTTGAGTCGCGCTGTTAGTTGGCAAGCATGGATATGCTGTATGTTAGTGTTTCTTTTTCACTTTACCTCGTTGTCATGGCGATACAGGTTTCCGCCAACAACGCAAACAGGAGTAGAGAATCCTCCTAATTCTTTTGCTTCAGCTCTTTTTGTGGTTACAGAAATGCAGTATGCTTTTTATTCATTTTTATAATTTTTTGCTGAAAATGTAATATTGCTGCAAGGTAAATCATTTTTTTATTTGTGACATGGGACATAAAATTTAAATATTAAAATCAGATCAAATCAGCACAAACATTTTACAGAAGCTTTTACATGCTGGTATAATAACACACGCCTCCTAAGGAACATCGGATAGTCAAACGGACGACTGCCTGGTGACCGCTGCAGCACACGGACTCCGACACACTGTCACGCTGTGCGTTTCAAAAGGAACAAAGTCATTTGTGATTTTCTGTTCCTGCTTTTTTCCAGGCTGGCCGTTGGTTTTAGTTGTTTTTTTTTTTTTTTTGGTCTTTTTGCTCTATGCATTGTCTCTAACCTGTTCTTTTCATTTGTTTTTTGTTTATTATTTGTTTTGTTCAATTGCAGATTCCTAAAAGTGTGGGACTGGCACGGGAATGGCAGGGCAAGGTGCCTCGGACAAACCCATCCTCCTCTTTAAACGTTTAGTCAGCGAAACGGCAAAGAGTAAAGGGGAAGAGCTAGGAAGCTTCCAGTTTTCTAGTTTGTACAGAAATCCAATTAACCCTTATTCTGCAATGGCTGAAAGGCGCAAATACAAATCAGCGACCCTCACAGGAGCCTTTAGATCCTCCCGCTTTCCCAAAGCTTGCTTCTTGGTGTACTAACCTGCCTATTTTCTTGTGTGTAGCGGCTGACAGCCCCCCCCAACCCCCCGCCATGGTCAGAGATGGGACCTGCACCTGAGGGGGCGGCATGGCATTGGGGGTACGCTGTCACTGTCAGTGTGACTCTCTCAAACCGCATACGGTGTTCCCGTACCAACATTGACAATCAGTCAACAGCACTTACTCTAACTACAGCATTCTGGGTCCATCCTCATGATGGTTTTGCCCCAGAAAGCAGCACTCAGATAACACCTTACAGAAGCACTGTAATTGTCGTAGGAGTTTTAGTCATCAAGGAAAGACAAAAGGTTCTCAGCTTTAACAGAAACAAGCAAATCAGAGTTATACACTTTTGTTTTTGTTTTTTTTTGCAGTTCTGCTGCTGTTACATTTGTAACGTCTTGACACTCAGAGATAACCATACATAGATAGACCATATGCTTGTATTTAACACATTCTCGTGAAGTGGGAAGGATTTAAATTCTCTTCCCGCTTGTACAGTATCACGTACCTTAATGACAGCTCCCCTCTCTGACCGCGGCCCGGCCCAGGCTGCTGTCATGGTCAGCTTTGTCGTGGCTTGTTTCCCTCTGGCCACGCCCCTAATGTACGACCACACCCCCAATGTCTGGCCACGCCCCCTGGTTGCTGCCCATCACTGTAGGCAGCTTCTGCTGGATCTTTACTTGGCATCGTGTCTCTCAGCATGCTTGCTCGCCCTGTCTCCTTGCCTCTGCCAATCCCAGAGGTCTGACCCTGTCGCTTATTCTTTCAATTAACCAATTGCCTGTGTACTGTTATTAACCTGTTTTCTATCTTCTGTTTCGTGCCTGTGGTTTATTATTATTATTGTTGTTATTATTATTATCACTGACTGTTGCTTTCTTAACATTGTCTCTTGTGCATGACCTTTAATGTTTCTGCACCTTGATCTCTGCTCTTTAACCACACCACTTTCAGGGTCAAAGGGTTTTTCTTTGTCCTGATGTCATTCACACAAGTTATATGTGCGTTTGTGTCATCTTTATATATGATTATCTATTGTACATTTGAAGATGATTTACTCGTACTGACAATAATTATGAACAGTGATACCTTCAAATGCTTGGTTATTTCATCCTTTTTCTTTATTTTTTCTTTTCTTTTTTGAAGGGGGGCTGTGGGGTTTTTCCACTAGTCATCTTGGGGACAGAAAAGCCAGACTGAATATTGCAGGGTTAGTTAGTGTTGTTTATTTGATAGATTACAATTCTGTGGTGTTTAACATGAATTGATGTTTTTATTTAATGTGTAGGAAAATGGTGCTTTTTTGCATTTGTGTGACAGTATATTACTGTTGTTTCACAATGATGTAGCATCCATTTTCCCACTGTATATGGCACAATAATTTGAACAGTTATATAATTATTGTGCTTGGACTCTCCTTGGGTGATAGAGCTACTCTTTGTTTTGGCCGTGCGTCTCACACCAGGTAAGGACCTGGATCTCAGAGTGTTGATGCGTGTTCCACATTGTGGTCGTCTCAATAATGAAATGTCCTGACGTGTCTTTTGAAAACGACATTCTTCATATTAACTGCTGTTGATCATAGCTACAGCACCTTAACTGACCCAAGTGAGTATGTCTTAAATAGTTTATCACGTAGAGTTGCTACACCAGGCAAAGTTACTCTGTTTAATCAACAATGGAGAATTCCTTTTTTCACTTATTGAGCTTTGTAGATATTCATTAGGATATAAAATACATAAACCCTGAAAGCAAGACTGAACTTTCTTGACAAAGACATTTAATCAGTAATGTGTTCCTGCCTGAGAGTAAACCCACACACCGGCAGATAGCTATCCTTTGGAGCGACACTATAGACGCAGAGAAGGGCCCAGGCCGCCTCCTTACCCGACAGCTGCTGCTTCTATTGTTGTTGTTTTTTATTTAAAACAAAAAGCTGAGAATGCTCAAAGGCCGGCGAGCACTTTTCTCCGCACTTCACGAAACAGGCCGATTACTTTGTGACGCAGCTCCTATGTCCGTACCGTGTACAGGAGAAGAGGCTTATCGAAATCAGAAAATATATACATATATAAATAATGTTTAGACCCATTGAGAAGAAACGAATATATATTTTTTAAAATCTGCTACTGTAAATTGTTTTGATATTTTTTTGTTGTTGTTTTGCTAGTTTTTTTTTTTTTTTTTGGAGAAAGTCAGCCAAACGTTTCCATGCGTTTTTGCTCTTTAACTGTGTTACATTTTATGCGCTTGTGTCCTGAGCATTGAATATACTGCATTGTATTAACTGTGCCAATAAAAAGAATATTGGGGAAAAAATCACGATATCACTTCAGTTTATCCCGAAAAGCTTGTTATCGTTTTAGCTGTTATTGTGTGCTGATGGCCGAGGCTTCCTGAAGGGAACCTTGTATTGCTGGACTTCTCCCTCTCACTCCCCTACAGATACCTCTGTCCTCTCTTCTCCTCCAAACACATTGCATTGCTGTGTGAAGCCTGGAGCCCAGAGAGAGACAAACAATTGGATGAGAGTGCAGACATCACAAACAACTGGTCTTCATCTCTCCAGTGTCTCTTCTCGTACATCATCTGTCAAATTGCTGTTGTAATCTCCTTTGCCCAAAGAGTCATGTTTTTGCATACATTCGACAGCACCACCTAACTTAATTTATTACACCCGTAAGGGTATCACGTTGGGTTCATGTATTCTTAAGGTTGTAGGCCTTGGCATATATTTCATCTGAGTGCCTCCTGTGAAAAGGAGAGAATTTTCCGTTCTTTGCGGTATTGATAACCTCGTGCTGTTGTATGGATTTGTATATAAAGCACAGTTGAGATATTGTATATCTGTCACCCATTAACTTGGTTTTTAATTGCTTCTTGTTTTCTTTTTCCTGTAAATTTTACATTGTGCTAATAAGCAGGCAATGTTTCCCTTTTACAATAATCAGCATAGGGTCTCCTGCAACCTGCCACTAGATGGCGATAAAGTGTAACGTGAGAGCTTATAAACCAGAGGTTGCACAACACTTGCATGTATTGACAATGTGTGTATCTTGCTGAAATCAGAGTGAAGTCAGGGTCATCTTCTTATCAAAGACACAGATCTTAAGCTACACTAGCGGAAGTTATGCAAGGCTAGACGGTGTTAAGAAATGGAAACTCAGAACTTGGGAAACAGTGTTCTGCGAAGTGAGGCCCCACGTATTGTGAGATGGTGAACATATTGACTGTGTTATTGTTTACCTTTAGCTTCAGTCATCCTTCATCTCGCTTTAGCAGTCCAGGAAACACTAATGTTTCCTTAATAAAGTACAATACAGACAACCAATATCAGCAGTCATTTGCAGAACCATTGTTTTATTACCTGCCTATAGCTGGAGGAATTATGGGGAGGGGGGATAGGAAGCTCTCTGTTGATCCCTGGGGTGGGGGGTGGGGGAGAGATGAGAAGCTCTCTGTTGATCCTCGTGAGGGTCCCAGCGCTGCTGCCGGGCCTTAACACGTCTGCACGCCTCATACTTGGTCCCTGCCACTCATGTCCGCGCATGGTCAGTAAGTCCTGCTGTTCTCACCTTCCTCAGAAATAGATACTGCTTAAAACAAATGCCACTGGATAGTGGAGCCGGCACGGGACACACAATGGGGAATCTGGTGCCTGTATGTTGAATACCTGTACTGTCAGTACCCTCGGGCCCTAAAGGACAATGTCTGACACACATCCAAAGCCCAGGATGAGAGACGGCAAAGAGAAGAACATTGCACAGTAATCTTCTGAATTTAGCTCACCCTCAATTCCTGTTTAAACAGAAAAAAAGCTAAGGGAGTTCTATTGTTCTAAAAAGTAGATTTGCATAAACGTATTTCTGTACTAAAACTATTTTTAGATTATGACAGGGGAAAGAAGCAAAACTGGATATTTTGGAGAGATAGGCCTGGTGATACTGGTCCCAGAAGCATTGTTCTGGTTGATACATACAGGTGTTGCACAGTGAAACTGAAACACTGGCCAAAATAGTGTTTCAGGTTTCACGCCTATACATGCGGGGCCTGATGACCAATCTTCACTGATTGCACATTCCATAAAGGTTGAATCAGCAATAGCACAGCTGTATATAAAATACTGCAATCCACACAACATAATGGGAGATATATTAGAGTTCAAAAGAGAACAAATAGTTGGTGCATGTCTCGCTGACGCATCTGTGGTCAGGACACTGAGTCTTTGTGGTGTATGGAGAGCTACGGTATCCAGGGTAATGTTGGCATATCATCACGAAGGATGGGCCACATCCAACAGGAGCTGTCTGAAAGGGGTGTCCGGGCACTAACCTGGACTGCATTCAAAAAACATCAAACCTGAGCTGCCTAACTCACTACAGAATTATATGCTCACCTTGACTCTCCCGTTTTCACAAAGACTGATGGTGAGCTCCTCGGGGTCAATATTCAAGGTTGGACTGCTATAGCCAAACCTTTGGTCACTCGTGCCAATGCCCAATGCCGGTTTCAATGGTGCCAGAAGCACCATTGGGCTGTGGACAATGTGAAACATGTATTGTTCTCTGATGAGTCCACTTTCACTGTCTTTCCCACATCCGGGAGAGTTACGGTGTGAAGAAGCCCCAAAGAGGCTCATCACCCAGAATGCTGCATACCCAGAGTGCAGCACAGGGGTGGATCAGTGATGGTTTGGGCTGCAATATCATGACATTCCCTAGGCCCACTACTTGTTCTAGATCAGCGCCTCACTGCCAAGGACCATCAAACCATTCTGGAGGACCATGTTCACCTAACAGTTCAAATATTGTGCACTGAAGGTGGTGCTGTGTATCAGGATGATAATGCATCAATACACACAGCAAGACTGCTGACAGAGTTGTTTGATGAACATGAAAGTAAAGCTGAACATCTCCCATGGCCTGCAGAATCACAAGATTTGAATATTATTGAGCCACTTTGGGTGTTTGGGAGTCTGGTAACTTTTTCCTCCACCAGCATCACATAGGGACTGCATAGGTCACTGTTCTGGCCACTATGTAGGAAGAACAAGTCCCAAGCAAAAAATGATGCTGTATTAGTCGCAAAAGGAGGCCCTACACCATAATAACAAATTATTGTGGTCTAAAACCTGGTGCTTCAGTTTCATTGCATAACCTCTGTGTAACAAAAGCAGATATAAACCGAATATTAATTTTTCATCATGCTGGCCTGTCATTCAACAGTCCAGATCAGGAGACCAAAGGTCTCAATTAGCTAGCTGACAGGAGAGCAAGGAAAGTGAATGGCAAAAGCCACAAGGTGCATAGGGATACCAATCTGTCTCTAAGGCCACACATAAATCTGCCAGCTGCTCTCTGCATGGCAAAATGGAAAACAAGGACCCTGTGCTTTGTTATCTTAGCCTTCTGATGTCCAACTGAATGGCTCCAGTGCTGGTCTTTTTCTTTTTTTTAATACACAGAGCTGGAATGGTATCAGTTACAATATCTCAACATCTCTGCTGTGCTGCCTGCGCCTCTCAGAGGGCTCTATGGGTAACTAGGGCCACAGATGCAGTCAGAGAGTGAAGTATCTCACTGGCAGAGATAGTTGAGGGAGTCGGTGGGGCTGCTTTTCGGGAAAAGGAAAGCTAAAATAAGCCAGCATCACAGCTTTCTGCAGGAGACCCCGGAGCACCACCCGCCGGGGGCTACTCGATAAAAAAATTGGCTTCGAACAAAGAAGCAAAAAGTCCATGATGCGTCATTTCTGCTTAACACTCCTCATTCATCAAGCTGTGTAGCTTTTTACTAGGTGATAACGATCTCATTCACATGTTCCCTCATGGACGATGCATTTACATTACAGTGCACACAACTGTGTTCAGGACAGAAACTACGAATGTCTGCTCTTCAAAGCTCCATAAAACTGACAGCAAGTTAATAATGAAATATTAGTTTATCCATTAGAAAACATTAATATTGTTATTTTTTAGAGCTTATTCATACAGAATGAGATGCCTTTAAAGCAGCAGTGCCTGTATATTGGTACGCTGAATATTCTTGGGTAGCATGGTTATAGCACAGTACTCAGGAATACTACTGTGTCTTGTAAATATCAGTATTATAAATAAAAGGAATAATGTGTCTAATGTAATGCGATTCTTTCCACAATGGATACCCTTTCCACAATGATTACCCTTTCCACAATGATTACCCTTTCCACAATGATTACACTTTCCACAATGATTACACTTTCCATATTGGATTAACCCTGTTCATGCTGCCATGGGGTCAGCATGCACTGCCAAATGTCACTCTGCCACAGCTATGGTTTGTCTTATCTTGTCTTATCTTCCTCTCTTGCGGTTTCATCCCTCCTGTTGTCACTTCTACTGCTCTGAAGCACCTGGCTGTCACCTCACTGTTTGTGTCCTGCAGAAAACAGAGGACAGGCTCTGCTATTCCACAGCTCCTTTGCCCTAATGCTAGAAATTCAGGTGATTCAGGTCATTTCAGTGAGTCATTTGAAGTTTAAACAATTCCATACATGTAGTATGTAGTAGAAAAATGATCTTGCTTGACAAACTAGCAAACTGAATGTAAGTACTTTGCCTCTGGAGCTGATCCTCCCCATGGAAGGATGTCTCTGATGCTAGAGGTCTACATTCTCATACAGCGTTTGCTGACACTTGATGTACAGCACCGTGCAAAAGCCATAGGCAGTCAAAAAATGTTCAAGGCTAATTATCTGGGTAGTAAGTGCACTTCTGTTCAGAACAAAAAACACAATTTAGCATTAAAACATATGCAAATTAAGAATAACACAATAACAAATTATTAAGAACTTCTTCTGTTCCCCATAAAGTTATTCATATCTAACTATAATTTCTTAAAAGTCGAACCAACCAGTTTGAAAAAAATGACCTAGAACTCGATCTGAATCTCAGAAGTTGAACCGTGAACGCCGACCTAAGATAACTTGCATGCGCGGGGAAATGAGTCACGCGGCACGTCTCTCAGTGGAAACAAAGGGTAACGCTTCAGTCTCAGCCTCGCATTCGCTGTGACAGAATCGTGCATGTTTACATAAGAACATAAGAAATTTACAAATGAGAGGAGGCCATTCGGCCCATCATGCTCGTTTGGGGAGAACTTAACTAATAGCTCAGAGTTGTTAAAATCTTATCTAGCTCTGATTTAAAGGAACCCATGGTTTTAGCTTCCGCTACACTAGCAGGAAGACTATTCCATACTCTAACTACACGCTGTGCCAATTTACACTAACTGAATACATATATTTAGACAGTAAAAATACATTTAGACAATGATAGACAG